ATACTATATAGCTTTTAAGAAATGATTTTTTTTTCCTTATCCCAAAATTGAAAGATTTGTCGAACAGTTTTGCATTTACATTGTTTTAACTATTTTTAACCATGTAAACTTGTGAATTTTTAATGTGCAAATGTGAATCACTTCAACATTTCCCAGTATGGTTGTATATGGCTACGTAATTTGAGATGATTCATAACAGGTGAACATCTCATAAAACGCATTGGTTGGTTTGGGCCTTGTTTTGCTGTTCCAACAGATTCAAATGCTTAGTCAGCCCTGTAGAAGCTGATGTCTTCGTTTGAGAACTTTTTGCTTTAAGCTAACGAAATAATATCTAACTTTTTTTTGTGTGCCTCAACTCTAGGTGGAGTCCCGGGACACACTCAACAGCATTGCGTTGAAGTTTGACACGACTCCCAACGAGCTCGTCCAGCTCAACAAACTCTTCTCTCACGCTGTGGTCCCTGGCAAGGTACTGTATGGTCTTTTAATTTTCAGAGCAGATGGTCTCTATGTCCAGCTGAACTCTATTCCAGTCAATTGCTTTTCCCAAAGTCTAGTGTAATAAAGGGTAAGGTGAAAAATATGCCCTCTCTGAAATTTCAAATGCCTCCTTAAGTAGCAGATTCATCGTGGTGACTCTACAGTTTAACATTAATAAGCAGAGATATCGTGATCCTGAGGGTAAGAACTGGGACCGTTTAAAATTGAGAAATAGTCCTCTGGGTAAGAACTGTGGCTTTTGTAGAAGAATAAAAGTTCTGTTTGTTCAGCAAATAGCTCCATTGCTGAGTTGTGAATGGCAGTTCATCTCTTTATTTATCATTTTGTTTTATTCGAGATCAAACACTTTATATGCCTTGATTTATGCTTTTTAATATATTTTTTTAATGTGTCGACGTGTGTTTGATTTAGATCGGTTTTATTCCTAGAGTACACAACAGTTGTTTAAGAGGTGTGGGAAAAGCAGAAAAATATAACCAAGCCTGAGCCAAGCAGTCCAAAAGAGGTGATATATATATACTGTATATAAAGCAAGCCAATCTTTTGCATAAACATCTTGATGAGCCATTACAAATATATTAAACTATTGCATTTATAGCAGCAGTATTTTATCATAGGTTGGTGGTGTTTACCTTTGCATTTTGTGGCAATTAGAAACAAAAATAGTTTTTGTGATCAAATGAAAATCTAATGTTTTGCATAGAAACTGTTGGCTATTTTATTCTGCCTAGTCTTTCATTCTTTATCATCCCATTATTAATTTTATCTTATTTTACAAAAACTACAGATCTATCAGTCAGTGAGTCCATTTATGAAAAGTCTCTCTCCCTCTTAATAAGATTATATCTTTGAGAAATGAACGGAATATTTTCTAATGCAAAAATGCATTATATTGACTAGATCTAAACTGAAAATTGAAATGTATATCATGTCAAACAACATGTCTGCTTGTGTTTTACCGGTTTCATTAGCCCTTTTAATTTTACTTGGGGAAAAATGTCATTTGGTGTGTGCATGTGAGATGATATAAATATAAATTCTGTGCGTGTCTTGCTTTTTAGGTGCTGTATGTCCATGATCCGGAATATATCTCCAGTGCAGACAGCTCTCCCTCCCTCAGTCCCATCAGCCCCCTCTCCCCCACCTCTTCAGAGGCTGATCTGGAGAAGGCCACCACAGTAAGTGTCATCTCAATCTTCATCCAAAGCTTCCAGGGGGATCATATATAGTGAGAGGACAGGCTTTATGCTTGTCCTTTATCACTGTTTTAAATTAAAATATGGATTTTGGATGCCAAGGTCTGATCATTTTCAGGCTTTACTCATGCCAGAAGAATTGTTGTATAATATGTACAGCACATGCTTTTTGACTCATGAGCATGCATCATTTTCATTTAGCTTTTCATTATGAAGTTTTGAAGTCCAAAAAAACTGAAGTTCTGTAATCGTTTAGCTCATGGTGGTTTTGGTAAATCTCCATCATGTGTGTGCTTTCACATGGAGCAGCATTTATTACACAGAGCCGTTGTTCACTGACAAGCTGTGCAAAACCACGATCATATATGAACCGCTGATTACAGAACTGGCTTTACTGACAAGATGCGCATTAAATATCGCATGCGATTTATCGTGCAGCCCTAATAAACATATTTTTCCAAGTTTTGGAACAGGGATGGTGAAATTCAATAATCCGTGTAATAAGTTGGGTTTTATTAAGGGCCGTTGAGTATAACATGAAGACTTATTCAGCTAAAAAAAACAGCAAGTTATTAAGTGAAGCGGCTTGGAACGTGATTTCACACTCATTCAATCTAGGTCTTATTTAGTAGACCATGTAAAGTGTAAGAGAGGTTCTATAGACTATCACTTTGCATAGCTTGCATTTTTACATTGATTAAATTATTTTCCATTTATTTTAATCAGCTTTTTAATTTGTAGTCGCTGAGCTGAACAGGTTCAATTAAATTGGGCAAGAGATCCAAATCAGCGTCGTGTTTTAAGGGTCTTATTTGTTTCCTGGAATGCCATTTTGAGGTTGCCAAATGGATTGTGTCACCTCTGTTGGATTAGTCTGTGTCCCTGTGTGTAGTTCCGGCTCCATCTGGTCATGGATTTACTGTTCATGCTGCCCATTGCCAGAGATTCAGGGGTACACACTTGCATTTCCTTATGAGTCATCAATGGATAAAGCATGCACATGCACCCTTGCACACGCTTGTACTAACGTCAGATGTGTTCAGGTATCAACATGCATCTCACGAATAAGAATGCACACACATATCCCTGTAATTTTAATAGCCTGGAGTATTGACTTTGTTACAGTACCATCACATTACATGAAAACACACAAACGTTCATGCAATATTCATGCTTCTCTTATGCATTTCAGCATTTTGATTCTACACACAGAGTGGAGTGCATCTAAACTGTACCATCAGTCACAGCAGCCATACATTTATATACTTGTCTACGGACTGTAGACATGTAATATTAATGTGCTGAGAAAACATGTTATGCAGTTAAGCACAGTTTTGCTACATTCATGTTTGCCTTAATATTACACTACTGTTCAAAATTCTGGGGTAATGTTTTTGAACATTCTCTCTTGAAAGTCTCTTATGCTCACCAAGGTTGCATTTTCATAAAATAAATAAAATTGTGGAATATTACTATAATTTAAAATAACGGTTTTCTATTTTAATATATTTTACTATGGAATTTTTCAGCATCATTACTCCAGGCTTTAGTGTCACATGATCCTTCAGAAATCATTCTAATATGCTGATTTGGTGCTCAAGAAGTATTATTATTATTATTATTATTATTATTTTTATTATCATCATCAAAAGTTGAAATTGTTGTGCTGCTAAATATTTTTGTGTAAACCATGATTTATTTATATTAATTTTGGACCCTTTGTATAGAAAGTTCAAATGAAATATTTGAAATAGAAATCTTTTGTGACATCTTTATTGTCAATTTTGGTTATTTGAATGGATCCTTGATGAATAATAGTATTAATTTCTTTAAAAAAATAAATAAATCCATACATGCATTCATTAATAAAATAAAATACTTACACCAAACATTTAAACTATATTTGGCTCAATCTTACAGTAACATTTCACCCGAAAATGAAATAATGAAATTGTGAATAAATAATGAATAGAGTGAATAAATATTTTCACTATACTTTTAAACATATCTTTCATGTTCCATACAAGAAAAAGTCATACAGGTTAGAAATAACATGAGAGATAATAAAAAAAGATTTAAAACATGCTACTCATGGCCCATCTGTTGTAGTTTACATACAGGGTGAGCATCTCTTTTTTTTTTTTTTTTATACATGCAGTTAGTAGACTAAAATTATATATAGTAGACTATAATTATATATACTCAGCATCACTTGCTTGATCACTCCAGTAAACAACCTGGTTTTCTTTGATTAGTATTAAATGAGCATGTGATGTTTGTTTGTCAAGTATAAGGTGTCTCAGTGTGTCCGTGTTTCACAGAGCTCTTTGTGTGAGAAGTTGGAGTGCATCGAGCGAGGAGTCAGCCATGTGTTCAATATCTGAAAATGTGATTTTACTGTAGCTCAAATCCAGGAGTTTCAGCTTGTTCACATTTCAGCTCAGGATTCTGCTGCTATGCATTTTGTAAAGCTGAAAGTAACTTTTTATAATCATTAGATTTGTATTGGTGTGTCAGCACCAAGTTTCAGTGAGCAGTGACTTTCCTTTTTCTTGTCCTATAATGAGCTCTCACACACACAAATGCTGACAGTCACTCAACCTGTGCTGCATCATGTTAGGAAACCTGCCTCGGTTTCCTTGGTTTCCGCCTGTCAGCTTTCTTACAGCAGAGAGCCCTCAAGGGATCTACCTTATGCCTTAATGGGCTGTTATTTCCAAGCCTCCTTGTTATGATGACTGTGTGTGTGTGTGTGTGTGTGTGTGTGTGTGTGACCGTGTTTGTGTGTGGGTGTGAGTGTTAGAGGATGTACAGCTCAGGTATCATGAGCTCAGGCTTGGGCCGCATTCAGTGTGATGTGGCGAGGGCTACCACTGATTGAGCTGTTTCTCACTCAAACTTCATCCCGACAGGATTCAGATGATGTCCGTCGGAGGCACAGCACCCCCGGCCCAGGCCATGGCCCCTCTCGGCCAGCCAGAGTGGTGTCATCCACCTCCGAGGAAGAAGAGGCGCTTACGGAAAAGTTCCTTAAAATGAACTGCAAATACATCACGGATGGCAAGGTAAGATTCAAGGGAGAGAAATTTCTGTGTAAAAAACAAAAACAAATCTGTTAGTCGGGTGCACAGATTTTTACTAGTCTGGAAGTCATTTTTCCCATATATTGGGATGTTGTGAGTGTTTTTGTGGCAAAAATTGTGACATGAAAATATTTGAAAGATATATACATGCATACACACTGCTGTCTAAATTTTTGGAGTAAGAAATATTTATTTATTTATAAGAAATTAATACTTTTATTTAGCACATTAAATGGCCTAAAGTGACTGTAAAGACTTTTATATTGTTACAACTTGAACTTTCTATACATCAAAGAATCTTGAAAAAAAAAAAAAAAGTATTCACAAACATATAGAAATATATAAAATATAAAACTTAAAAAAAAAAATGTAAGCGGTCATAACATTGACAATAATAATAAAAAATGTCTTAATATATAGTACCATAGAAAACAGTTACTTTAAATTGTAATGATATTTAACAATATTGATTTTTTTTACTGCATTTTGGATCAAGTAAATGCAGCCTTGGTGAGCATGAAATTATATAAACAAAAAAAACTGATTAAAACATCTTACCGACCCCAATCTTTCAAACATTAGTATACATACACATGCACAAATGCATACATAGAAATACATATATATTTTGTTTATATGTTGTATTTATTATGTGTATTAAATTCATATATTATTCATTTCTGCTCTAGCTTGGCATTGTGTTTTGCAAATTTCTAAATTAATTAAAGTGAATAACATTGCTAAATGATTAAATGTAGATATTTTACCTAATTCTCAGAATTATGTTTTTGGAATATATTGTTACATTTGGAAGGATGAAAATTAGGATCACAGAGTCTAAACACATTTTCACAAATTTACAGTATTTTCTGAGCAATTTCTCATATAGACCACATTTCCATGCTGATATTTTATTGTAGTATTACTGATTTCAGATTTACCCTTAAACAGCACAAGAAAAACGAAAACAAAAGCTGGTTGCATTTCATGTCAATCTCTTCCTGCCTAAGTGGGCGTTTTATGGCCAGAATAATCAATGTACAATAACAAGAACAATATGTTCCGTCTTTGCTGTTATAATCAAGTCTGGCCATGCAAGAGTAGTGTGTGGTCCACTGATGTTTCGTTGCCATCTTTCTCGTCTGTTCTCTGTCTTTCAGGGTATAGTCAGTGGTGTTCTGTTGGTCACCCCAAACAACATCATGTTTGACCCTCATAAGTCAGACCGGCTGGTGCAGGAGCGAGGATGTGAGGAGTACGGGATCATGTGCCCGCTGGAGGAGGTGCATTCTGCAGCCATGTGTAGGGAAATCACCGACATCAGGGTCCAAGAGCTTGTGCCACCGTAAGTTGCTTGACAGCCTGAAGTACTTAAAGGGATAGTTCAACCAAAGATGAAAATTGTGCTCACCCTAAAGTTGTTCTAAAAACAACTAAACCCTAGTTGTTCAAAAAGAATAGAATATTTTGTAAAATGTTGGTAACCAAACCGTTGATGGTCCCCATTGACTTCCACAGTATGAAAATTAAATACTATGGAAGTCAATGTGGGCTAGAAACTGTTTTGGGTCGAACATCTTAACATAGAAATGCATGACTTTTTAAATGACACATGATTCATATGTTGTTGTTTTTTTGTCAACCCAGAGATCTGGAGCTAGAGCCTTCTGTAACTGAGGTGAGCCATCTCAAGAGGGCGCCACGTCTCACCGCAGCCGATGCAGCACACAGAATCCGTGAGACGGGCAACGACAGTGCCAGTACGGCCCCTCGCAGCACAGAAGCTTCTCTGTCCGAAGATGTTTTTACAGAGTCAGAACTCTCTCCGGTCCGTGATGATGCCCTCGCAACATCTTCCGACGAGCTGCAGCAGATAAAGTCCTCTGGTGCATCTTCGGAATCAGTGCAGACCATCAACACAGCTACTGAAGAACCTTCAATGGTCGACACAAAGGATGTAAAAGAAGCTGTACAAGATGCAGAAACTGAGGGAAGAGGATGGAGGGATAGTGGCATCGAGCAGAGTCTGAATACTACAGATTTATCCAATGAGTTGGTGTCTGAGAACGTTCTGGAGAACATAAAAAGGGACCAGCCTGTGGATGAGGCCAAATCACGCACCACATCTGAGTCGCTTTGTTCGGACACTGTGGCTTTTGAGGATTTTGCAAAAGCCCATGAGATACAAAAGAGCATGGAAGCTCAGACTATGCAAACAACCAATGATATGAAGGAAGGAGAACCAGGGATGACCAATGAATTCACACCAGCTAAAGAGGTTGGAGCAGATGAGGAACAGAGTACAGAGGAAGGTAACCTACTGTTAGCACACTTGTTAACATCAACATGAAATTTCACCTGATTCATCAGTTCACATTATCCTCCCCAAAAAGTTCTTTCTGTCATCAAAACATGCACGTCCAAATTTTTATGGATGCATATATATTTTTATATATAAAAAAATAAAAGTCAGTTAATAAAAATATAGTAAAAAAAAAGAAGTTAATTTTGATTTTTTGTTTTGTTTTTTTAAATGTTAAAAAATGGCATTTAATATATAATACTGATAAAAACAAGTTCAGGGTCTGTAAGTTTTTTTTTTTGTTGTTGAAAAATTATCTTATGCTCATCAAGGCTGCATTTATTTGATGAAAAATACAGTAAAAGCTACGGAAGTTCTAAGCGGCCATGCAATATAATTTTTTTTTCTTCTCGTTTTCTCGTTATAACGACTTAATTTTCTCGTGATATTGACATAACGAGTTGTTTTCTCGTTATAACGACTTAATTTTCTGGTGATATCGACATAACGAGTTGTTTTCTCGTTATAACGACTTAATTTTCTGGTGATATCGACATAACGAGTTGTTTTCTCGTTATAACGACTTAATTTTCTCGGTATCTCGACTATGTCGATATAACGAGAAAATAAGTCGTTATAACGAGAAAACAAGAAGGGAAAAAAAAAATGCATGGCCGCTTAGAACTTCCGTAAAAAGCAGTAATATTGTGAAGTATTATTTCAATTTAAATAAATAAGTAGCATCACCATGTGGATAAATCTAGATGCTACTGACGGTGAAAAAACTCCTCAAAAGTGGGTGCCGAAATGAAATAAAGTCCCATCCTTCTAAAGTCCCATCCGTACTTCTTTTCTTGGAAATATCCTGTTTCACTCCTAACTGAAAATAAAAAATGCAAGTAAAATGGGTTGCAAATATGTTACATGTTGACTTTAAGCTTATTTCTCATTGTAGCTCTCTTTCCCAAGGGTATTGTTCTATAAAAGATATCCAATCCTTGATGACATAACAGAACGTACAAATATATTGAGGTGTCAGCCTACATATGATCCTGTTGTATCACTGCTGCAATCTAATAAGGATGTGGCCCTAAAAATAAACTGAAAGACACATTTTCATTTAGTCATGCTGGATTGGCTGTAGTGCCACAGATTTAATTTGCTCCATTTATTTATTTCTCTGCAGCACACTAACAACACCAGCTCACTCAGCACGACAGCTTATTAAGCATGTGTTGCATCCAGCATGCATAAATATGCTAAAATATAGATTAGTAAAAATAGGATGCAAGATTCATGTTTTAATTTTACATGCTGAGATAACAGGTGCAGACTTTGCGCTGTTTGTTTCCTGTCCTAGTTGTGCCGGGGCCCAAAGGCAAGCAGAAGTCCAAGTTGCACAAGTTCCTGTGCCTGCGGGTTGGCAGGGCCATGCGGAAGACCTTTCTTTCTCACGCCAGTGCCTCCATGCAGCAGTATGCCCAAAGAGACAGGAAGCACGAGTACTGGTTCGCTGTTCCTTCTGAGAGGTCAGTGCTATTCCTAGTTTGGCTGAACTCCACTTTAAATGTCTGCTTCCTGTACTGCTCATTTTTACTTTCTTTGATGCTTGACAAGATTATTTATTATATGCAAGGTTAAGGATTTGTACAAATACATTTGGCGCAGTGTGTCCTGTATGTTTGTTTTATGGACATAAATGATGTATCATGATACATAAAATTATGCTGTTTTTAGTCATTTTAACTTGACCGTACTGAACATTGTTTGATCTGAAAGGTTTAAAAATTACAAAAGTATTTTCTCTGCGAAGAATGCCCATCTATAATTAAATTAAATTTAAATATATAATAATTTAAGTATTTTTTACACTACTGTTGGAAAGTTTGGTTTCAGTATGATTTTTATGTTTTTTTAAAGAAATGGATACTTTTAATCAGCAAGGATGAATTATATTGATCAAAAGTTACAGTAAAGACTTTTAAAGTGATTTTAAATAAATGCTCTTCTTTTTCACTTTCTATTCATCAAAGAATCCTGAAAAAAAAACATATCACTGCTTCCACACATATTTTAAGCAACACAACTGTTTTCAACATGAATAATAATAATAAATGCTTCTTGAGCATTAAATCAGCATATGCGAATGATTTCTGAAGGATCATGTGACTGAAGACTGGAGTAATGATGCTGAAAATTCAGCTTTGCATTACAGAAATAAATTACATTTGAACATTTATTCAAATAAAAAGATGTTATTTTAAATTGTAATAATATTTCACAATATTTGAAACTTTTTTTAAAAGATTTTTTGATCAAATAATGCAGTGTTGATAAGCATAAGAGACTTTCAAAAACATTAAAATAAAAAAACTTACCAACCCTAAACTTTGAAACGTAAGTGTATTTTTTTTAAATTATAAAATACTAACATAAAAAGTGTAAAAAAAAAAAAAAAAGTATGAATGTTTATTTTTTTATAAGTTTTATATACATTTTTTTATTTTTGTATTTAGTTTTGCATTCATATTTTTTCACCTTCTCTCTGATCCTAATAATAATTTTTGGTGCTTTATTTGTAAGACCCCCATGTAACCGGCCTCTTTTATGATTGGCTGTATAGTGTATACATGTGACGTCAACCATGAGCGAGCAATTTTTGCAGCTGGGGTTTCAATAAATGTTCTTGGTGGCCCTGGCAGGGAGCTTTAGGTTGTTAAAGTGTTTCCACTGCACAAATCTATATCAAAAATATAAGGATAATTTGATTTCTGATTATGTGACTCTTTTAAGAGTACAGTAGGTATCTACTGAGGGTTATTTTGGGCTCATAATGTTTGTCTAAGCATTTACCTACAGTGCATGAATCTGCTAGGTTATCCTGTCAATCCTTAGTCTGGAACAAGATCAATCTGGTGCCACTAGAAATGACTGCGACTAATTACCTGACCTACTAATCTAAATGTTCAAAAGCAAAGCCTTATGCAATCCATCACAGAATCTGTTACTTCTGTGTAATACAGCTATTGAACCACAGTCAGACAGATTAAGAGAGATTTGCATGCTCCATATGTGTGTTTTCATCTCCAAACTGAATTATGCATGGATCAATGTTGTTGTTTCTTTCTACTTTTCCTGGAGCAATAAATCAACGTAATGTGCTAAAACTACATTATTTCTAACAAATGACTATCTGTAATCTGATTCCATATTTATGAACATGACAGATATCTTAAAATCGAATAGGACGTCTGACTGAAAAATCACTTTGTACTGCATAAACCTTGCTTTCTCTCTAAAGACAGTGTGATGTGTGAAAAAGCATAATTTCACCCTTTGACTTCTGTTTAGTCTGCTGAAATTTCCGCTCAGAGTTATGATGTTTACGTACAGTAACTTGTTTTGTATTCCTGATTTTTGTGATTTAAGTGTGTATTTGAGAGATCAATAGTCCACAAATGGTTTATGACCTCCATCTTGAGCTATTAAACTCACACAAACCGAGTTGCATCCATGAAAAAGATGTCTCATTATGTATCAAAGATGTGGCTATGGGAAGGGCAGCACAGATAACTGCTCTACTGTTGTCTGACTCAGTTTGGTGGCCAGTCACATGATTATTTTGAGCTATGACAATGGTCCATTTTGTCATTTCTGAAACACAAAGGAACATCAACCATGTTAGCTGGTGCTTGCCTATGTGCGTACTTCTCATAGCCTGTAAGCGGTGCCTCATATCCCCAGGAGTCGCCTGGAACGCATCCAAATCTCTCCATGACCAGGTCATCGTGTGTATATATGTAGCTTGTGCTTGTCTGTATGTGTGTGTTTATGGTTGCGTTTCTTTTGTAATGATCTCTCAACATCAGTGCCATTTGCCAGCAAGACTACAGGACACTGTCAACATGCTGTAATCACCTATAAGTTGCTGTTGACATAGACCATTATATATTGAACAGAGCAATCTTGGAAAGTGGTATATCAGACTACGGACATGCATTGTGGTTGATTTAGATGTCAGTATAAGACTAGACCCTATTTTATGTATTTAATTTTTTTATACAAAACATTTGTGTTATAATGTATGCCATACACTGGGTTCTTATTCAAGGTAAAATAAATATAACAAATATTACTGTAGTATGTTCTGCAAGAAAATAACATTTCAGTTTTTCTGCTTCAAAATTTTGTGTTTTATTTGTTTTTATTTTTTATTTGTTTATTTGTGTTACTTGCTGTTTCTTTATAATTATTTGTGAAGTTTACTACCAATGTCTGAATGAAAGTTTATTAAATGTACATAGAGATACTATAGAAATTTCCATTACTTTTCTATAAATGCTTTTTGGATTTTTAAACAAAACCTTAAAGATAATATTTGCATATTAACATCTAATATTATCACAGTCTTTAATGCAACAGAATATTTAGAAGAAATAACAGGATTTAAATGGATTGAACGAGATGGCTGTTATTAAAATGATAATATTTTCCCCCAACCTTGCAAACTTAGTTACATACGGAAAAAAAATTATTTGTTTGAAAATTTCAGGTGGAGTTAATGGAAAACCTGGAAACATTAGGAAATTTGAAAATTGTATTTAAAAAAAAAAATTCAATTCAAATTAAACTAAAATGATAATGTAATTAAAATGATTAAATTTAAAGGGGTCCTATTATGCTCTATTATGTGTACTAAAACAGGCTCTCATACTAGGTTGTTCGAAAAACACATTATTTTTCACATATTTTACATTATTACAACACCTCTCTCCCCAGTCTGGCATGAACGACTCGAATAGTTCCTGTATCAAATGAAGGCCCACCTTCTGAAATACGAAATGTGCTGTGATTGGTTAGCTGGGCCAGTGTGTGTTGTGATTGGTTAGCTGGGCCAGTGTGTGTTGTGATTGGCAGCACTCAGCGGCTGGTCGAGAAATGTCATACCCCTTACCATAGCCGCCTGCGAACTTCAGTGTAAATATTGCGTCAAAATCAAATCAATTTGAGCGCGATTTAAACCCGGATGATTGTAACCACTCTAAGTTCGTCTGCCTTGGGAAAGCTAGCGTGTCTCCGACATAGTGATAACACTCGTTGCCTTCTCTAGTGCAGCTCAACCAGGTCTCGTCCCATTCGTCGATATTTGTGATATCACAAATCCCGGAAAATATGCGTTGTAGTCCAAACGAGTCGTTCGTTGTAGTTTTTGAAAAGTGATTTCTGTTAAATAAAATATCTCCTTTTGCAGTGCACTTTGAGCTTTGTAACTTTGCAGATCGTTTTTATGTTCAAACAGCAACATTACAGACTACAGACCCCTTTAAATTAGTACTGTATTTCCAAACCTGAAAAGGTTATGGAAATTTATGACATATTTTTACAAATCATGGAAATGTTTCTAGTGAATTATGATGTTTTGGGGTTATGCTTTGTTCCAAAATATCACAAATTCTTTGTGAGGGCTATACTTTTTTTTTTTGCTTTCAATAAATAAATCTAAAAATCCTTATCTAGTAATTCTAGTAATCACCAATTACTGGAAAATTTAAGAGAATTCATTGATCATAAGTATGGGAACCCTTTTTATTAATTGTGATTAATAACGATTTATTAACTGTGCGGAATAAGACCAGATAGATATATTAGTGCATTCATTTCTAAAGAACATAGCATTTTTCATTAAATTGAATCAGGGTAAATTTTATATATGCATTTTATATAAAAACATTTTTAGAACTGTAAAATAAATTTATAAATAAACAAACAAACTATTTACTGGACAACTATCTAGAAGCACACATTACCAGATTTAAAGCCTGATTTGTCTGGCTGATAAATGTGTGTGTCTGTAAGCTTCACTCCTCACGTCCTGTAGTGTGACTTTCTCCTGTATTGAGCACTACTGTTTTTGATGCCCTCTGTGGAGGGGCATGAGACTATTTCAGAATTTTGCAGATGTTCTCTTACTTTGAGAGTACTGTATACATGGCATATATTTAAGAAGGCTCCGATTATGTTATCTGATATGTCTGATGCCAGTTACCTGGAGTTCAGTCTGAAAAAAAAGTCATTTGATTGGATAATGCATGAGAGGGCTGATAGATAGATAGATAGATAGATAGATAGATAGATAGATAGATAGATATTGTTTGTATCATAAGTGGCTCAATATTAACCTTATTCGACTGTTGTATAAATGAAAATCATAAAAAATTATCTTGAAAATATACTTGAAATGACAGTAACTATATTGTGATAAATACCATTACAGATATAGATATAACGAATAAATGAGACCGATAAAACAAACGATAGATAGATAGAACAAACAATAGGATGAACAAACAATAGAGAGATCGGTTCGAATTATAGAAAGAACAAACAAATGATAGCTAGATAGATAGATAGATAGAATGAACGACAGGTAGAATTAATTAATGAATGCATGATAGATAGAATGAACAAAAGATAGAAAGAACAAATGAACGACCAGGAGATAGAACACACTAACGAACAATAGGTAGAAAAGAACAAACAAACAATTGATAGATAAAACAAACGAATGATAGGTAGAATGAATAGGTCGAACGAATGAACAAATGATTGTTGGATAGAACGAATGATAGCTCAAACAAAAGATAGAACAAACATGAAATAATCAATGAAATAATGAACAAACGATAAAACAACAAATGAACGAATGATAGAACAAACAAACCTACGAAAGAGTGAATGAATGAAGGATAGATGGAACAAACAATAGATTGAATGAACAAATGATTGAACGAAAAGTCGACATTCATGTATTGATATTTCAAATAAGTTAACTATGTAGGCATTGTTAGATGCTAAGTATTGTAAGTATACGGCAGTCTAATTGTTATTGCACTTATTTAATACTTGTCTCAAATTTTTATGCATTATTTTTTAAGTCTGAAATGCTTTATATTGCGGAAGAGAAATGGTTCGTGAATGTCATTTCATGTTGACTTTAAAGGAAAAAACATTCCTGAAAGTGTGTTGTTGAGGTCTCACTAACCCTATTCCCTGCAAACATGAAAACAGTGCAAACATCCAAGATTGTTAGCCTTTACTGAACATTGTTGTAAATATACAAAAAAAATAAAAATAAAACAGTTATCAGCTCCAAATCGGATGTTGAATTGGCATGTGATCCTTGGACATTTGCCTTGGTTTGCATTGCCGTTGGCGAACTACCCTGTTTTCCTGCTAACCTTTATTCCTGTGCTTAACTACGGTTATACTTTTCATTCCTGAAATAAGACCCCTTGGTACATTTTCCTGCCAGCCAAACCTCTCTGGCCTCCATCCATCCATCTTTCTCTGTCTACATCAGTTGGGTTGTACTGATGTAGAAGCACACATTACCAGATTTAAAGCCTGATTTGTCTGGCTGATAAATGTGTGTGTCTGTAAGCTTCACTCCTCACGTCCTGTAGTGTGACTTTCTCCTGTATTGAGCACTACTGTTTTTGATGCCCTCTGTGGAGGGGCATGAGACTATTTCAGAATTTTGCAGATGTTCTCTTACTTTGAGAGTACTGTATACATGGCATATATTTAAGAAGGCTCCGATTATGTTATCTGATATGTCTGATGCCAGTTACCTGGAGTTCAGTCTGAAAAAAAAGTCATTTGATTGGATAATGCATGAGAGGGCTGATAGATAGATAGATAGATAGATAGATAGATAGATAGATAGATAGATATTGTTTGTATCATAAGTGGCTCAATATTAACCTTATTCGACTGTTGTATAAATGAAAATCATAAAAAATTATCTTGAAAATATACTTGAAATGACAGTAACTATATTGTGATAAATACCATTACAGATATAGATATAACGAATAAATGAGACCGATAAAACAAACGATAGATAGATAGAACAAACAATAGGATGAACAAACAATAGAGAGATCGGTTCGAATTATAGAAAGAACAAACAAATGATAGCTAGATAGATAGAATGAACGACAGGTAGAATTAATTAATGAATGCATGATAGATAGAATGAACAAAAGATAGAAAGAACAAATGAACGACCAGGAGATAGAACACACTAACGAACAATAGGTAGAAAAGAACAAACAAACAATTGATAGATAAAACAAACGAATGATAGGTAGAATGAATAGGTCGAACGAATGAACAAATGATTGTTGGATAGAACGAATGATAGCTCAAACAAAAGATAGAACAAACATGAAATAATCAATGAAATAATGAACAAACGATAAAACAACAAATGAACGAATGATAGAACAAACAAACCTACGAAAGAGTGAATGAATGAAGGATAGATGGAACAAACAATAGATTGAATGAACAAATGATTGAGCGAAAAGTCGACATTCATGTATTGATATTTCAAATAAGCTGAATGAATGAACAAACAAATGAAAGATCGAGTGAGCGAATGAAGAAAAGATTGATGGAAAGAATGAGAGATAGAACAAACGACAGACAGACA